AAGGGCTATATATAGCCCTATTATAATTATCAACTGACTGTTAGTCAGGGGGGGCAATACCCAATTGCCATTATTACTACTATTATTATTAGTATTATGAATATCAGTAGTATTGCTACTATTATGATTATTTTTAGTATTGTCATTACTATTACTCTTATCGCTATTGCTATTATTATTGGTATTAGTAGTACTACTCTTAGGATTATTCCCATTTCTACTATTATTACTAGTATTAAACCTACTATTACTACTATTACTATTAAGGTCTGGTCTGAAGATGGCGTCCGGCGCTCCTCCCGGTTCGAGGATGCGGATGAGTTCGTGTGCCTCACGAGCCACCTCACGATTTTCGGAGCGGTGCTGGAGGCTGTTTTGCAGGTGCTGCAGTGCTCTACAGCCTCGGAAGTGTTGTCAGTTGATGGCCTCCAGAATCTCGGCAATGCCCAGTGGCTGCACTACGCGGCAAGCATCGTCACCTTTGTCTCCCTCAGCTTCTTTGCCGGTGCCATGATCTGGGCGATGCGTCGTGACTGCAGGACAGCTGAAGACCTGCCCTTTGAGGAGGTGGCGGAGGCGCTGCTGGTGAGCCGCCGCGAGGTAGAAAGTTCCGGATTGGAGCCTCACGTCGAAGAAGTGGAAGGCCTGGAGCCCGACGCTCAGGCAGCTGCAAACCGCCGCTGCTGCCCGCGGTGCCGGGCTTGTGCCATGAAAGGTTTGGATGGTGCGGTGTGGCTGCTGAGCACCATGTTCGAAGTGCAGGCAACTGATTCCGTCTCGGAGTTGTTGGATGTTAAGATGGCCATGGTGAACCGTTGCATCACTTCGATCCTGGATGGGCATTGAAAGAAGGGATTCTTCTTTCTTTGCAGGTCTCCCTAACAATTTTGAAGTAAGAACCCTTACAGCCCTTATGCCATAATGTAACCCCAATATAGACCCTATCATCCCTATATAGCCCCTGCCTATAGCCCATTATAGTAGTTTCCATGTTCTTTACCATCATCCCCCAGTTTCGCTGTGCTTTGTAGATCTGAGGATCCATTCTTACCGCACTGGCGCCTGCCGGCAGAGCATCCGAACTGTAATGGCTTCCCGGCGAATCTTCTGGGCTTACTAGATTGGGGAAGCCATATTAACTATGTATGCCTATAATGGTAACTTAGTGTAAGTCCTTAGATCCCTATATTCCCCCAGTTTCCATTTCATTTTGCATGTTCTTTTCCATTTTATTCTCCATTATAGGGGGGTTACTACATATACCCATTATGGTAACTTAGTTTACGTTCCTTAACAGCAACCCAGTCTCCTTTTCAGGCTTTTTTGTTGCAGGCTGAGGGGTTGGGGTCTACGAAGCCTTAAATTTTGGCTACATTAGGAAGTGTTCTCTCCCTGAATTTGGTCTTTCACCATGACTTCGGTGCACTTTATCGAAAAGTACAGATTCTGTGGCGTTTTCCACAGGTTTCTCACGAAAACACAGGCGTCCAGTGGAGAGAAGAAGCTTCGGCGACCCAGCACCAGAGGCTGCTGGGTACTGAAGATATTAGGTAGCTTCCTTGAACAGGGGACCCCAATAGAAACCCACCCAAAAAATACCCTAATGCCGATTATGGGGACCCCTAAAAAGCTAACCCTTTTTAGTTTGGGAAGCCCCCCATCCATGTCCCATTGGCAGAGCTCGGCGTTGCCGTGATGGGGAAGCTGTATAGGGCCGCATCTAATTCAGAGCTGGTGGCTACTCTTCGACTGCAGGGTTTGAGTTCTGCAGGAGGCGACGTGACACACACCAGGACGACTTCCTCTGTGGTTAGCGCCATGGAGACCTGGAAACTGGGTTGCTGTTAAGGAACTTAAATTAAGTTACTATATTGGGGAAACCCTATTATTTACTATATATATACCCATTATGGAAACTTAGTTTAAGCTCCTTAACAGCAACCCAGGAAAGTTCACTACCACGGCGTAACGGCTGTGGAGAGGTTCCTGCATGGCTCGTGGCTCAGGTGCTAGGGCTGGGGCTTGCAAGCTATGCAGAAATACAATAACTCTTTGAAAGCAAAATGGAAAATAATACTATATCATAATGGGGTATATATTTGGGTTGTATAAGTATAATGGACAAGAACATGGAAACTACTATGTCAAAATAGGGTACATATTGGGGTTATATAAGGGGAAATCGAACGATTCCGGGGACCGTGGTCAGAGCAATGACTGGCCATAGTTTCTTCTCACCTGCAACTGCGGCTACTGTAGGTGTTTGTTGTTGCTGTCATGCATGAAGGCTCGGATTGCTACGACTCAAGGGACCACGCAAGCAAAATGAGCATCACACAAGCAAAGTAGTTTCCATTTTCTTTTCCATTATCCTGATATAACCCCAATTTATACCCTAATATAGTCTAGTAGTTTCCATTGTATTTTCCGTTATCCCTATATAAACTTGCAGTTTTGCCCATAGAGGCGCTGCAAGCTCCAGCCAGGCACTTCCGGGACTTCTGGGGTCCCAAATTCGAGGCACTTGACACTGAACTCGGGCACTGACCAAACCCTACTTGGAGGGTCAGGGGGACGTAGTAAGTAGGTCAATAGCCTCCATAATCCATATAGTAACCCTACTTATCTCCATTATTACCCTACTTACTAAGTCCCCCTGACCCTCCAAGTAAACTGACCCTAAACTGCCTTCACGCAGGAGTCTACAGAGCTCTAAAGAACTGTATGTCAGGCGCGGCATCATACTTGGAAGTCTCCCCAAACAGGGGACCCTACATTCGACCCCAATATACTATGATCCTTATGAAGCCAAAACGGGTAATTTTGGGAAACCCAAACCTTTTATATCCCTATAGAGGCCTTATACATCCCCCTTAAATGGTACCCCTAATTTCGGGAAATCTCCAGACGTCAGGCGCGTGATCATACTTCTTCCTTGCATGCATCCCTGGCTGACTGCGTCGCTGAGGAGCCTCTTCAGGCTCACCGCCAAAATGATCAGACTTAGGTTTTAGGGTTTAGGGTTTAGGGTTTTGGGCTTAGGGTTTAGGGTTTAGGGCTAGGGTGGGTATTTTGGGGGGATCCCCTTAATAAGGATTGTAGTATATTGGGGTCTATATTGGGGTTTCCCCTGTTTGGGGAACCTACCAATTACCAGACTCAGGGTTGCCGTTCAGGTTTCTGAATTGGAGGGAGCTCTGGTTGTGCACTGTGTGTTGCATGGATTGTAGGTTGTATAACATTTCTGATGGGTTTTAAACAATTTTTGTAGGGCCCTGACAAACAAAGTAATTTTGGTTCGGACTTTGGGCACCCCCCCCCCTCTGCTTCAAAGGACCGCCGAAACAAGAAACCATGCGAGGAGGGAGTCATGGCTAGTCGTAGGCCAAGTTTGACAACGGCGCGAAGCTTCCAAGAGTGTGCAACTGACACGGCTTTCAAAGCCAAATCAAATGGAAACTACTATAATGGGGTTATATAGGGTTTAGGGTTTAGGGTTATATTAGGATACTAGAAAATACAATGGAAACTACTATGGTATATCATGCTATACTATATAGTAGTCAGGAAGGCTCGTGTTTGCAGTTCACAGCAGCAGCAGCAGCAAGTGCACTCGTAGTGCAGATGAACGTGGCCTCTCCAGTGAGCACTTTGCCCTTGACAACGCTCAGACGCATAAAGTCGAAGAATCCTTCCCAGTAGGGAGTGAGCACACGAAGGGCAGAGTCGGAACAAAAGCAAGGCAGTAGGAGTCCCTAAGGGTCCAAGTGCCTAATAATCATATACTTGCTCAAAACCTGTACTAACATTACTATTACCCAAAACCCAAGTACCTAATTATTGGGTACATGGACCCTTAGGGAGTGTGACAGTTCCTGAGGTCGCACACTGTGAGAGTTGCGCTGATTGTGCTGAAGCTGGTGACTGGAAGGCATTCTTAGTGATGTCTGCCTTAGAATACTGGAGATGAAATGGACACTACTACAGTATATTATACTATACTATAGTAGTTTCCAGTTTTCCATTATACTATAGTAGTTTCCAGTTTTCCAGCATCCCCATTATAGCCCCTATATAACAGTTCCAGAGGCATACTTGGAAGTGAAAATCGACAGGCAGCGTCGGCTGCATGCAACCTAGCCAGAAGCAGCAAGCAGCAAGCTTGACAAAAGACACAAGGACAGTGAGAATAGGCTTAAGCGGGCATGAAATCCATGGCAGACAAAGATTGAGAGGAGTTTGGCATCTTTCACGGGTTCCAGGGTAGTTACGGCTTTCGCTTTGACTATCTCCGTGTACAGGTAGCCTATGCTGATACACCCTAAACCCTAAACCCTAAGCCCTAAACCCTAAACCCTAAGATAGTTGAAGGGTAGCATGCCTTCTGGATTCCTTCTTTCAAGCAGGCAGCGGGCAGAGGCTTCAGGGTTTGGAGGCTTCGACCCGAAAGCGTAGGGCTTGGCGTTGTCATTCTGTAATCCCTATATAACCCCTATGTAATCCCTATGTAGTTTCCATTTTCTTCTTCATTATCCCTATATAACCCCAATATATTATGAATTAGCCATCTGGGCCATTCTAATGCGAATCGCATAGGAGTGGTGGAGCCCTTGAATTGGATCACTCAGGTGAGCGCTGCGTTCACCAATGCCTTGTTCTTCGCTAGCACTGCGCAATCGCCAGACTCCGAACCTTGCGGGCAAATCTATGGCTGTCTGCTTCCATTCCTTCCCTTATAGTATTAGTAACATCTAGTAACCCGAATAATCTACGACGTGGGCCCCACCCCTAATGAAGAATCCGCCGGGCAAATTGTTCCTAGGCGAGCACGATCTCTTTTAGGGAGTGGAGCCTAATGCTGTATAGTACAGGATGTTCTGGTCAATTCTGTAGCATATTGGAGCGCATCATCGACTAGTACATTAAATAACTGAGTATGTTTCAACCTGTTGCGGGTATGCCATAGCCAGCTTGTCGCATAAAACGCATGAATTCTGCAGGAAAAAATGGGTGCAAAACAAGAACTGTAGGGTGTTCTTTTTTGAGGACCGGGGCACCCCAGCAGTTCCTAGCTTCTGGAGCTATCGGAGTTGTTTTTTTGAAGTCGACGCTTTTGGGAAGGTCCGAAAAATTTCTTTAAAGTGTGATGATCCCAGTGTATTGCGGTTTCGCGCTGAAGCATCTGCAGCTCGTACTGCCCCTTCATTCTCGTTTTGTGGTTCTTCTTCCCACATACTTTGGGTCATTCCCCCACCCAGTAACTGTCCTAAAAGGGAGCCTTATTAAGGGGCTATTATAATTCCTATTACCCCTTTTGGTAACTGTTACTGTAAGGGGGAATAACCCAACACATACTGCATTCCGCTCTGAGGATGAAGAATGCGCGGCAGCAGAAACCCTAGAGGAGCACTTGCTGACTGCAACAATTGTCGGTTTCCTCTCTGCCTGCGCGGGGGATGTGCTGATCGCCTCTGGTCTGCTTCAGCTAGAGTTGTTTTCAAAAGCTACCAAGATTGGACCATGATTTTGGGAACTGCCCAACCGCAGTTTTTGTTAGTGTTTGGGTTTGAGAGGTGTCCGGGTTTGGGGTTCGGGCTTTTTCCCCTCCATCCCCAAAGCTTCCAAGTTTGAACTCTCAATGATACATAGTGGCCACAATCAAAGCACAATAGACATCATCTTCAACATCTAAGTAGCGAATTTAAGTAGCAATAGTGTTATGTTTCTGCCCTGCCTGCGGAGCAGTCCACACCCTAAACCCTTAACCTTAAGCCGTTTAGAATCAAGGTACTGCTGGCTTTGATCCAGCGACGGAGCGTGCTCGTCCGAGACGTCTGGACACCGAAGATGAAGTCCAGGCAGATGGGGGTTGATCTAAGGGTCCTTGTAAAGGCGAGACCATTCGTAATAGATTTCCTAACACGGGGATCCTAACCAAACTGGGAACCTACACTATGACCATTTTGGGGACAGGTATTTTGAACAACTACCAAGTGACTGGAGATGGGGCATTTATGAGGACATTACCCAAGGTCAAAAGTTGTAGGTTGGGTTCAGAAGGAGTGTTTGAGGCGCAGCGGTTTGGATTCGGGGCTGTTGCTGAGAACAAGTTGAGGCAGAACATTGCAGAATCAATCTTGGATGACAAGAGAGTACTTGGAGGGTCATGGGAATTTAGTAAGCAGGTTCATAAAGGGGATACTTGGAGTTACTGTATGGCTTATAGGGGCTACTAACCCACCTTCTAGGTCTCCCTGACCCTCCAAGTACGTACCATGAGGCGTGAAGATCAGGAAGAGCGGCAGCAGTTCGAGGAGTAGGAGTAGTGGTTGGAGTGGCAGCGCAGTGGAGATGCATGCGGGGTTCTCGTCTGCTGTCATTAGTCAATATGCTGCTGAGGCAGTTAGTCCGGTGGCGCTGGCGGCAAAGATTCTTCTGGTTCATATGGCTTGCCATTGCTGGCTTTTCCGCTTTCTACACCCTCACCTTTCTCGCCAACGTAAGCGCAGCAGATGCCGCCAAGTGGAGTTTCCGAAATTAGCGGGCCTTTTTCTTGGGTCTTTACGCAACAAACCGCTTTTGCGTGAGTAAACCCCTTAGCTTTTGCTTTAAACCCTATGTATCTTTCTATGTCCCCCTAGAATCCCTTTATCCCCATTTCCAGGTACCCCTAAATTGGGGAACCTCCCTGGTTTAATGTATGGGAAGCTCCTAGAGGTGGCTTGAGAGCACCGGCATGAGTGCCTTGCAAGATTTGGTATTCAAGCCGGTGCTCCTTGCTGTGGGCTATGCTACGCTGCAACTCGGAATCAAGTGGAACAGCCTAGACCTTTTTGGGGCCCTATAGGCAACAATCGGAAAATAGCTCTTTCTGTCCCCTCGCTCTCTATTTCTCTCCCTCACTCTCCCTCCCTCTCGCGCTCTATCTCCCTCTTGCTTTCCCTCTCGTGCCCTATCTCCCTCTCTCTCTCTCTCTCTCCTCCTCTCTCTCGCCCTCTCTCTCTCTCTCTCTCTCCCTCTCTCCCTCGCTCTCTCTCTCTCTCACACTCTCTCTTTCTCTTTCAGAGTTCCGTCGGGCCCAGCAGGGGTTTATCACGGGCTCCTTGCCCCAGGAATCTGTTGTGTTTCTGTTCGAGCACTTGGTCTTGCGTTGTCACATATGTACAACCTTCTTTCACGCGTATGGCCGTAGGGTAACGAGGGGATTGAAGGTCAACTCTGGTGCTCTTGTGCAACCCGCGTGTCAAAGACACCGTGACAGATCGATGGATACACCCAGACGAAGATGCTGGGGCCTTTTTGGCACATCATTTGATCTCTTTGAAGGGGTTTCAGGGCAGGGGACACGGCACTTAGTCTGCAGGGCCCAATTCTAATTACTGTTGGTTAGTAGGGAATACGGGAACCGTATATAATTCTTGTATATTGAATTCCACATTCCCTACCATACGCACAATACCTATCCTATTAAACTGTAGTTTCCATTTTCCCCGTTATCCTTATATTACCCCCCCATAGATTCCCATCTTCCCTACTAACCTTAATCCTTCTATACATATATATATACAAGTATGTAAAGATATAAATGTAAAAATATGAATACATAAATATGTATAAATATATAGATATAGAAGTAAACAAATATAGAATATTCCCATGTTCCCCACTATCCCCCAATAAGTTTAGGGTAGGGTAGTTCAGGTCGAAGATCGTTTCGTCACAGACATTCCAAGCCTAAGCTTCTTGGACCGGGACGACACTGCCTCGGCCGGCTCTGAAAGCGATGGAAGCATGCAGGCTGCATATTTTTAGGTTCCCAAAATAAGGGGGAACCCTGTTATAGACCCCAAAATACTATAGTCCTTATTATGAGGACCCCCAATAAGGGTACCCCCCAATTTTGGGAAACGCCCATATTTTTAGGTTTTATTGAACTTACTGGTTCTTAGTAGGGAATACGGGGAACAGAATCCCTAAGTACTCCCTATATAGTATGAGTCCTTCTTCCGCACTAAGAGCCAGTATGTGAATTGGTGGTCCTTCGCAGGAGAAACAAAGGAATGCTTTCACCCCGAAGGGGTGTAATTAGCGCTGCGAGATCCTCTCTTCCGCGATGTACGCGTGAGAAAAAGGTTCATAGTGGGATGTGCACAGTCCCTAAACCCTAAACAGTAGTTTCCATCGTATTTTCAATTATCCCAATAGTGGCTTCCATTTTAGTTTCCATTATCTCCCTGTATAACCCTAAACCCTAAGCCCTAAACCCTATACTATAGTAGTTTCCATTTTCTTTTCCATTATCCCAATATAACCTTTATATACTATAGTAGTTTCCATTTTATTTTCCATTATCCCAATATAACCCCAATATATATCCTCTGTAATCCCTATATAATCCCTATAATCCTTTGTAGTTTCCATTTTATTTCCCATTATTCCTGAATGACCCTAAACCCTAAGGTCAACTTCGGGAGTTCTCAAAGCCCTTAGGCCAGGTCCAGCGAAAAGCCAAAGCTTTTGATCTGCCTATCACCTCTTGGCCTCAGGGTGTAGGGTTATATAGGGAGATAATGGAAAACAAAATGGAAACAACTATTGTATAGGGTTTAGGATTTAGGGTTTAGGGTTTAGGGTTATATAGGGATAATGGAAGATAAAATGGAAACTACTGTAGTACATGGAGGTTATATAGGGATAATGGAAAAGCAAATGGAAACTACTATAGTATATAGAGGTTATTTTGAGATAATGGAAAAGCAAATGGAAACTACTGTAGTCTACTGGGGTTATAGAATATTGGGATAATGGAAAATAAAGTGGAAACCCTAAACCCTAAACCCCTACTGTGTTCCACAGCTGTTGGCCAAAGCAGCCATCTCGAAGCACACGGCACTACAAGCCCAGATGAGCTATAGTCTAAACTCCTTAAAGAGGGTTATATAGGGGATTATATCGGGGACTCCTATGGGGCTTATTTAGGCGGATACTAGGAGTTTAGACAATGGCCCAGATGGCAACTTGGCAAGATGGGCCATAGCTGGAACACTTGCAGGCGCTGAGTATGATAGAAGGCCGAGATCCTGCCTTCTCAATAATAGCATTTCAAACAAGGTCGGATTTGCTTTCCCACTGAATCTCTACACTGCAGACACAAGACACGAAACCCTGAACCCGACACATTCGACTTGCGGACTTGCCCCATGGATCGACCGCGCAGGGACTCGACGAGGTTCTTGGCTGCAAAGCGATGGCGTTAGTAGCTGTGACTCATCTAGGCGTGGATCACAAGTCCATCGGGGCTCCTGCAATACAACATCTAATCTTTGGGCTTGGTGTATCTATGGGAGACCTCCGTCTAAAACGCTGCAGTTGGTTGGGGGGGGTTGCCATCCCAAGCCCAGGGCCGAAGAGAGGGTCCGGTGACCAAAAGCAGCAGGCATGGTAGGACTTTCACAGCAACGCCCTCCACCACAGCTGTAGCAATACTATGCCTACCAGGAAGCAGAAAGACAATGCCTCCAAAGCATTGGGGATCAATGTTCTGGATTGAAGGCAGCCCATGATCAATGCCGGCACTTATAATTGTGAGCTCTTGGCTTGGGATTTCATAGCAAGTTGCAACAACTTCATGCAAATTCTGGATTCTTGGAAGCCGGGTTTTGTTAGCTTACACTTGGAAGGAGCAACAGTATTGCGGTCAGAGGACACTGCGCTTGGGAACGATTTCGCTTGGGCATGCATCGTTCGTAGGTGATGTCGGTAGAGCTGGATTCTCATGATTTGTCATGCCACTTTCCTGGCGCGTAGCGGTGCGCATGAACTCTATGTCCTTTGGACCCCATAAAATCTTATTGTGGGGTGGTCCGCCACAAGCCGAAGCAGGCTTTTGAGGCCACAAAGCTTCAGTGCTCAGATTCTGAATGCGGACTCCCTTGAAGGAAATGCGGAAGACGGCGCAGGAGCGCAGCTCCCGCGTCAAGCCAGGACAGAGCACACGCGGCTCATATAAGGGATTGACAAGAACGTGATACATGAGCTATAGTTATAGTCTAAACTCCTACGTAGTATCCCCCTTATAGTAACCCCTATAATCCTTCCCCTGTATAATCCTCTAGATAACCCCCCTTTCAGGAGTTCAGATTATGGGTCATATGAGGATCGTGCAAGGTTCGCGAGTTAGCGAAGCGTAGGGGGGTAGGGCATGTTCCTCTTGGAATGATGCGTCATCTTCTCAGACCCTGAATCCAACTGCGTGAGCGATCCCTAGCCTACCCATACGTGCTTTTGAAGTTGCTACATCTCTTCAGCGCCCTCTAAGCTGGACTGCATGGGCCTAAAGCTGCCTAGCAAGGCAGCTTTCAGCTGAGATGCTACTGCTGGGTTGCTGTTAAGGAACTTAGATTAAGTTACCATAATGGGTATATATAGTAAATAGTTGGGTTTCCCCAATATAGTAACTTAAGTTCCTTAACAGCAACCCAGACTGTTCATGAGACGAGCCGCAAAAGGCTCATGCAAGCCCTGGAAGGCTGCATCCTACAGTGTGAGGGATGCAGAATCTTGAAGCCTTTTGAAGCCCTGGTAGATAATAGCAATAAGAATAACAGTAATAACAACAATAATAATACCAATATTCATAACAATAATGATATGGCTTCTTGTAGACCCTGAGGCAAGGTCTTAGGCCGTAAAAAACGATTTCTGTATCCTTGGCAAAGTGCTACAGTCCCGCTTAAGTAGATGGAATATGACTTTGGGTATATTTTAATACGATCCCCATATACCTTATATTCTATCTACTTAAGGGGGACTATAAACCTAAACCCTAACCCTCAACCCTAATCCCTAAATCCTAAACCCTAAACCTAAACCCTATATTCTACCTACTTAAGGGAGACTAAACCGGACCTGAGCTGTAAATCCACAGCATCTGAGCGGCTCCACAGCCCCAATGGGGACTACGGGTTTACATAGGGATAGTGGAAAAGAAAATGGAAACTATTATAGTAGATTATAGTATATTACAAAAAACTATAATATAGTAGATTACCAAAAAGATAGTAGATTATTGGGATTTAAACCCAGGGGCACCAGCACAAACTTCTAGGTCGACGGGTCATAGAACGCC